AAACTTTCTTCGATTATCTTTTACCTGACTATTAATAAAACTAATTTCTACATACTTAATAATATCTAGAAAATAAAATCATTATATATATAAAATGATTTTATATGCATATTTATGTGTATTTACATATATGTAAGTATATACACAAAATTATTAAAGCTTTTCTATGCTTTTGTTATGAAAAAATGACTAAATGTGGAAAAAATAGAATTTATCATATGATATTAATTTTAATAAATACTAGTAAATATAATCAAACAAAATATGTACTTATTATTGCATTTATACTATTATGTATAATTTTTTCATACAATTTTTTAAATATTTACATGTCATATCCGTATAAATATCCTTCCGCATATGCTCTCGGCATATCAAATGAATTTCTACGAATTCTTCTGCCAATTGGTTCTAAATCATTATAACACTTTGTAAAAACTCTCTCTATAGCTGCTTCTGCAACTTCTTTTGATACTTTATGCACAGCCATTACTGACAGTCGTGCTTTATGCTTTACACAATTCTGTTAATAAAAATATTATAAAATTAGAAATTAGAAATAACGCTCATACAAGAATAAATGTATTCTAAAAGAAAAAGAAGAGAGAGATATATAATCGAATCTCCCAAAATCTGGTAATATCTACCTGATGTGTCGCTTTTATATTAATAAAAGACGAATCGCCTTGTAATAGTGAACTCATAAAACTACAGTGTCCAAGATTTGCTGCTCTAATTTCTGTACAGGCTAGATGATCAATATTTTTCACATCTAACTTATTACGGCAGTAATCAAACATATGAATCATTTCATGTAGAAGAACTCCTCGAACCATGTCTTCACTATGTGCTGAATTTTGACAGATAATTATCTGTAAAGAAAATAATTTTATGTATAGCAAATTAAAAGAATCTATTTTTTATAGAAATATAATATAAAATATTTCATTAGTAAAACATTTAGCGGTCCAAAAAAATTTAGTCAAGCAATTTGGAAAAATATTTACCTGATTAAATTCTGAATCATATCCACCAGTTACAATCGGATTACACACTTCACAAGAAATGTGTCGTCGAATATCTATTTCACTGGAATATCAATAATAATAATCTAATAAACAATAATATCTAATAATAGTCTAATAAACAATAATGGAATCAAATTATCAATTTATATATATAATATATATAAAAAATAAATTACAAACCATCCAGAACTCCTCAGTGCTCCCATCATGAGTTTTATTATAGGACCTAGAAATGACATATAATGAAAAAAATTATATTAGATTTAAAATTATACAAAACAAAAAATAAAATAATAAATATTATATTTATACACAATAAAAGCAAGTTAAATTAACATACAAATTCTATTTATGAGACATCAAAAGTAAGTTTATGAATTACACTTTGATTTTTATTTCTTCTTAATAAGAAGAAATAAATAAGAGATATCTTACTTTCTTTTATACATTTATAAACATTGTGTTCACATCGATTTTTGTCTATTGATTCACGTCCCTGAGCGCCAAGTAATATCTTAAACCAACTGTGCTGAAATTTTTTTCCTCTCCTTTCTGGATACATATCAGATCCCCATAAATCTTCATTATTCAAGGCTGCTTCTTGACTATTACCACTTTCATCCCTTTTCTCTTCATTCGCATTCTTAACTGTCATGGTCGCGCGAAAATTAGGAAAATTGATACGATAGAAATAAATTTGAATAAATAAATATTAATCACATTAAAATTTATACTCAGTTAAATATTTTCATGCAAATATTTTCATGCATGTGCATCAATGTACATTTTCTAATTTGAGGTTATGGTGAATTACATCATCTCACGTGGTTCACATCCACTGACATTGTCCACAATCGTGAAATCACGTGATCACAATTGTAGCCGAACAATTGATAAATATTTAGAATTTTAGAATACAATATTATATTCTGTTGGGAAAATTACTTTACAAATTGCTCATTTTTATATTATATTTATTTATATTTCATTTTTTAGGTTATCTTGTACGTATGTATTTATCTTAGAAATTGAATACAAAAGTTTGGGTATTTTATTTGTCGTTATATTATTATGTTTTATTTGTTCAATTTTCATATTTTTTATACTTAATTTAAATAAATATAAAATACTTAACACATGTAAAGTAACATGTAATATGTAAAAAAATAACTTTCCATCCCTCCAATTAAATGTAATTGAATGATTAGATCCAAAAGCATGAATTCATTATATTCAACTATTATTCATTAGCAAATGTAAATTATAAAATAGTCGAGAAAATAGTACTTTAAAAAAGTGTAAATGGAAAAAAAATTGGACAATACTCGATGTTATCTCTATTATCTTAAATTGAGATGAAAATCATGAGCAAATTCAGAATATTTAAAATACTTAATTTAGAATATTTATAATTTCATTGGTCTAAAAAATTTGTTCACATTTATAATTTCTCCTTCGTTTTAAAATAAATCGATTCCCAGTCTTGCAACACTTTTCACGTTTATTCACCAGACGGCGTATCGTCGTATATGTAAGCGTTGCGTGTATCGACGTGGCATGTTTAAGTCGGTAGGTGGCCGGTTGGAATTATATTATTGATGTACTTGGCGCACGTTGGAACTGTTGGAAGGCGCACATTCCAATACTTATAGTAGATAGTTGTCAAATTGTTGGAAAAAATATCAAAACTTACAAGATGAACAAGATTTTTTTCTTGTGCGCGTTAACGAGTTTAATTTCTGTGGCTTTCGCTGAGACCTGTCAAAAACCTGAGATCGTAGCATCGTCATATGTGACGGAAGACGCTACGGTCCTCACGAATGTCGCTTTTACTATGCAATTCGTGTTAAAGTGCAACAACGGTGTAAAGGGAATCAGTTTGTATGCCGAAGTCGAAGGCAAAACATTGCCGGCAGTCAGACTGAGCGCTGATAATAAATATCAGGTAATATCTATATATATATA